GCGCCGTGTGGGCGCGCTCGCGGGCGCGGGTGCTGCGGCGGCCGCTGGGCTGTACGCAGGCCCTCGCTTCGGGCTTCGACGGGGTGGTCCCTGTTTACCAGCCTGGAACATATCCCTATCCCTATGCTGGGCACCTCCTCATCACGATGCCTATCTTAGGGATTCCCTTATTTTTTGAGGGCGTATCCCTAAGATTGTCATCGCCTTTTGGCGTGTCAATCTTAGGGGTAGGGATACGTTCGAGGCTGGTAACCTGTCGCCAGGGAGGAGAGGGGTCCCGAGGGGGGTCCTTCGCAGGCCCAGAGGTTGCGACCCGCACCAATTTCGGCGGTGCGCCTCCACCAAGGGAAGCATATCCCGATCTCGGTGCTGGTGGCAATGCTCTGGCTTCCGAGGTGGCCGATATATTACCACCAACTTCGAGATCTAGGATCATCTTCCCCATGTGGAGGCAGCCCCCTGTGTTGGTGCAGGTGCCCATTTCTAGGCCTCAAGTCCCGGGGCTGTTTCCTAACTTTGGGCTCCTGGGGCCCTCCCGGGGCCCTGGGACCGTCAACTCGCCTGGCGACACGGCCCAACTATGTAGCTGCTTGTAGCGCAGGATCCAATCCCTCGACCCCATCCTCGTACTCATCCCCTCCTGATCATCAGGCCGCGCATCCTCATCCTCGTCGCACTCCTGATCCTCCTGATCCACCTCCTCCTCCCTCCTCCTCCTCCTCCTCCTCCTCCTCCTCCTCCTCCTCCTCCTCCTCATCGTCCTCCTGGTCCTCCTCCGCGTGTAGGGTGTGCGAAAGGGGCACCATCCGCCCGAGGAGTGTGCCGAAATTGGCAGGGGGAGGGGGCGCGTGTGAACACCCTCACTGGGGTCGTATGTGGAGCTCCCTGTGGGGCCACGGTCCGCGCGAGGCGTGTGCCGAGATGGGTGGGGTGGGGCATGCCGCGGCAGGCTTGCAGCGGAGCAGCAGCCCCAGAGCAGCATCACCCAGCACGCGTATCGTGACGGTGACGATGACTAATGTGATGGCGACGGCGACGATGGTGCGGGTGCTGATCATGGTGATGGTGGTGGTGGTAGCGATGGCGATGACCTAGATCATGCTTATGCAGCTCATGGTGATGCTGATGATGATGCTGATGCTGATGCAGCTGATGATACTGATGCTGCTGATGATGATGCCGATGCTGATGCTGGTGATGATGCTGATGCTGATGCTGATGCTGATGCTGCTGATGCTGATGCTGATGCTGATGCTGATGTTGATTATGATGATGCTGATGCTGGTGATGATGGTGATGATGGTGATGATAGTAATGGTGATGGTGAGGATGATGATGATGATGCTGCTGCTGATGATGCTGATGCTGATGCTGATGCTGATGCTGATGGTGATGGTGATGGTGATGGTGATGATGATGCTGATACTGATGTTGATTATGCTGATGATGATGCTGATGCTGATGATGATGATGAAGTTTTTGCGGATGCTGATTCTGATAGTGATGGTGATGCTGATGTTGATGATGATGCACATGCTGAGCATGATGATGATGCTGATGATGATGATGTTGATGCTGATGCTGATGCTGATGTTGATGATGATGGTGATAGTGAGGGTGATGGTGATGATGCTTCCGATGCTGATTATGCTGATGAGGGTGGTGACGGTGATGGTGATGATGATGCTGATGCTGATGTTGCTGCTGCTGATGCTGATGATGAAGATGCTGATGTTGATGCTGATGATGATGATGGTGGTGGTGATTGTGATGGTGATGATGCTGCTGCTGACGATAATGATTGTGATGATGATGATGATTGTGATGAGGATGAGGATGATGCTGATGCTGATGCTGATGACGATGATGATGAGGATGATGATGCTGATGTTGATGACGATGCTGATGATGACGATGATGATGATAATGGTGATGATAAGGATGATGATGATGCTGATGATGATGATGATCATGCTGCTGATGATGATGATGATGCTGATGATGATGATGATGGTGATGATGATGATGATGGTGATGATGATGATGATGATGCTGATGATGATGATGATGATGATGATGCTGATGATGATGATGATGATGATGATGATGATGATGATTATGATGATGATGATGATGATGATGATGATGATGAGGAGAGAGAGGAGAGAGGAGGAGGAGGAGGAGGAGGAGGAGGAGGATGTGACGATGGTGAGTGTGCTCTTTGGTTTACCAGAGTGCGCGGGAGTATGGCGGCGAAAGTGAGGGGGAGTGCGACGGTTTCTTCTGTAGCTGTCTGGGATCCAGACCCAAAGCGGCATCCCGCGGCAGCCATGCTGCGGAGGCTTGCTCGGGCGTGCCTCCCTCTCAGGGCTGCCGCGGCTCCGCGCGCGCGGCGGGCCGTGCCCCGCTGCCCGATGGGGTGGGCTGCCGTGCGGCGGGGGGGCCCCGCCGCCAAGCCAGAGGCCGAGTTCCGGGGGTCCGCCCTTCGGTGAAGTTGGTCGCCTACTCACCAGCCTCGAACGTATCCCTACCCCTAAGATTGACACGCCAAAAGGCGATGACAATCTTATGGATTCGCCCTGAAAAAGAAAGGGAATCCCTAAGATTGGCATCGTGATGAGGAGAGGCCCAGCATAGGGATAGTGATATGTTCCAGGCTGGTAAGCCTACGGGCAAGCGGCAGGGCGAGCTGCCCGTCCGCCCGAGGGGCGGGGGGAGACCGCCCGCGGGGCGGGGGCGACCTGGGCGAAGCGGTTACGGGGAGCGTCCCAGAGGCCGCAACGGGAGTGGCTGAAGGTGTGAAGTCCTGGACAACGCCCCGCCTCGCCAGGCGCCACGCTCGAGGAGCGACTGCCAGCGCTGCTGACGTGAAGCGGGATGGCCATGAAGATGGGCCGCCCTGCTTCCGCCCCAGGTTGAGGCGGCCTGCGGCTGCTGGCGGCGCGAGCGGCGAACCACTTTCCAAGAAAAAGAAGAACAATACGAGTAACATTAACAATAATACTACTAATGCGAATAAGACTGGTGATACCACCAAGAAGAAGCATACACAGCATAATAAGCATACTACTACTACTACTACTACTACTACCACCACCACCACCACCAGCACTACTACTACTACTACTACTACTACTACTACTACTACTACTACTACTACTACTACTACTACTGCTACTACTACTACTAACAAGCATAATACTACTAAGAATACGGATCGTCATTCCACTACTCATACTAAAAACCCAGAAGAATGATACGATTGATAAACACACCATACAAATCGAGTTCATAAGCCGAGTAATAATACAAGTCATAAGAAGAAGGGCCGTTGGAAGCCCAAACCCGCTGAGGGCGAAGCGATCGGTGGCGTTCCCGCTCTCGACGACGACCCCACGGCCCAAGCCGGGGCGCGGCTGGAAGCACTCCGTCCGGAGCCTCGGGTGACGAGCGGCCATGGGGAGTGGTATGCCCCCCTTTCGGGCGTGCGTGAAGGGGGCGTGCTCGAGTGCAATGGTGAATGTCGAGGCAGCTCGAGACATCTCATAGTCGAGGCCCGAGGCGGCTCGTTCACGATCGAAGATAAGGACGGGTGCTCCTCGGAATGCGCCTTCGTGGACGTAGTGAAGGGGATGGGCGCTGCCACGCTGTCCTCCGTGCTGCGAGGTCCTGGGGGCGAGGGCCCCTGCGCTTCTGCGACGGGGCGGAGGGCGACTGTGACGCCGCGTCGCCCGACAAAAGGTTGGAGCTGGTCCGCTTCGATTCGCGCCGCCTACGGCCAGACGTGCTCGCGCTGGGCTCGATGCTGCCGCTGCCCGTCGACGGGCACCCTGCCCCACCTGCCGGCAAGCGGGGCAACGCCCCACGAGGTGACCCCGCGGGCGGGGCGGCATTCTTCGCTGGCGAGGACGACGCCGAGGGCGGCCCCAAGGACGGCAACGCGTCGGGGGCGCGCAGGCTTGGAGGCGCCTCGGGGGGCCGAGGGCGAAGCTCGCGCCTGAAGCCATGGCGGCGAGGAAGGAGCCGCGCAGCGCTGCCGCGGTAATGGGCGTCGGCGAGGTCCTTGCCTGGCCGAGCCCGCGGCGCCGGGCGAGGGTCCTAGCGGGCCCGCTCGAGGCGGATCGGAGGCCGAGGCCAGGGCGGCGGCTGACGACCGCCGCTGGCGGGGGGCGTGGCGCCGACGAGGAGGGCTGTGAGGGGCCAGGCTTTCGCCTGGCACCCCCTCGGGCGGGCGAGGACTTCTCGCGTCATTCGCTCGTCGGCATCGGGGGCACTTTCTGAAGTTGACAATCGAGGATATCAAGCGCTATCTGAGTTCTCGAGGGGGGGGCGTGGCCGCGGGGCCGATCCTGGAGGAGGCTCGGTTCGTGAAGTACCGCGCGACAGTGATTCGCGCAGTCCATCCCTCCGAGCAGCTGGGGGGACTGGGCCAGGAGATGAGGCCCCTCGTCGAAGTGATCGACGCCGTGCTCCTCGGTGACCTCCCGCTGGTCACAGGCCTGTGCGCGCGGCGGTTCAAGAGCTGCGAGGTCTGGGCGAAAGGGGGCAGCCAGGCGCTGGCTGCGCAGTGCGAGCTGTCACCCGAGCGTTCGATCGGTTTCGCAGCCCCCATCGGTGGAGATGCACTTGGTCGGGGCTCTGGAGAGCCGAGCTCGCCGAGATCGAGGAACAGGCGCAGCGAGGGCGAGGCGGCTCGGCTCACCCGGGGGTCGGGGGCCTCGGGCGGGGAGCGGCCTCGCCCGTGGCGGCCCGTCAGACGGGCGCGGCGGTGGGGCCAGTGGCGAAGGCTTCTCGAAGAGGTCCGCGAGCCCGAGCGGAGGCCGCGCGCGCTGGGGCTGGGGCCCAACCCGCGCGCCAAAACCAGGGAGTGCCACCGGGGAAGATGCGGGAGGGCACTCGGGCGAAGGCAGCGCGGCGGTCGAGGCGGCGCTCGGGGCAGGCGGCGACGCCGAAGTCGCAAGCCTAGCTGAAGCCGAAGGCGGATGGGGGCTCATCGGCAAGGCCCGACGGGCAATGGGGGGGCAGGATCGAAGCCGTGCGGGCGTCGTTTTCCGCGGCG